TCACGTACATTTTCAGCCACTTTTCGGCTAATAAATTTATGATTGTATAGTATGAATTTTTGCAACGTATATTCGATATGTGTTCAGTATTGCATTTGTCTTGATTAATTTTAATTAAAAAACAATAGGATTTTTTGCAAGATACAATAATTAATGTGATTATATAACCTGGCTGATTCCAATGCCAATTAGGATAGGGCTTTAGTTTGGGGCTCTTCGTCTTAGAATGTCTCGGCACAGTAGCTAGAGTCGCCGGTATGCCAGATTTCCATTTCGGCAGAGTAATGAAAACTTTATCGCGCCAAACATCCAGGCCAAGGGGCAAATTATTTTCTGCGACATAATCGCCCTCAAATATAGCGTGATCTCGGGCCTCGATGTTATCGAATTCAAAATCAATAGTTGACCACGCGTAAACCTGTTAAAAACGATCGTAAACACGAGGCTTATTAAAATATCTAGAATATTTATATCAGCCATCTCGAGTTGTAACTACATTTAAATAATTTTAATTCTATTTAAATGCGTGTATAAGAAAGTTTCTTTAAAGTGCTAATAAGTAAAGTATAAAATAGATCGCAATGATGATATGCTATTGATTAATTATTTTTGTACAAATTATTACAAAATAACATTACGAAAAGTCTTAATCACTTATTTATTTAAATTTTTTGTTTTTTAAAGTGGTAAAAATAAAATGCTAAAATGATGTAAATTTAAGAAAAAAATATGATATTAGCAATTATACTACATTGCCAATTAATAAGAAAGTTTGTAGTGCGTTTTAAATAAATAATATATGCAAAAATTATACGAGCGACTTTAGACGTCACAATCCGAGATCGATGATACAGATATTGAGAAACTTTGGGCACTTTCGTTTAAATTTGCAACAAAAAACGTGCTACGTACTAATTCCATAGCGGGACCGACGTAGTCATTCGCAATGTGTCCTGGTTCAAAACCGTCGTCGAATTCTTGAAAGTCCAATTGATTGACTGAGTGAGGATCTGTGTGAAATAAATCAATGATTCTTCCTGGTTTCGAAAAGTCCTTTTTTCCCAGGTTGGGCGTAACGTGATGCCGTGATTGCGGTGTAGATCCGTAAAGATTGCGCACGCTCGTGGATACCGCTGGCTTTTTCTCCAACGGGTTTCCGTGAGAATCGCAATTTCGCGAGCCAGCATGTTCATCATAAGCCGAAACGGAGCCTTTGTAATTGATGTTCTGTTGAGGCGTGATAAAATATACTATTAGTTCAGAAGTTATATAATTTAGACGGAAATGCAAATAACAGCTTACAATAAGATTATAAATAACTTGATCGAATTACTCCATTTATATTACACATTTTTTAGAAGTGCAGATATTTCTTAAGCTTTTAAGAGATTAATACTACATTTTTCTTACATGCGTTGAAGAAAATGAAGTAGGAAAAGACGGAGTTAATGGCAGCGCGGGTGCCTGAAGCTCCCTGGATAAAATACTAGGACCCGTGTGAGCCGCAAATTTCGGGGCAGTCAATAGTGACATTGACAGCAGCCATGGCATCATACTCGCCATATCTGTGAATAATTTTGCATCATTAGAAATTGATAGATTAATTGAATGAAAATGAGTAAAAGAAAGAGTATTAATGTTCTCCGTATGATTAGAAATTCAATGAAATTTTCGCAACGTCATACAGTCATCGCGGTAAATGTTATCTCCTCTCTATTGAGGTAAGTGTGCTTTCTCATTCGCAAGGTGATCATCGATGTTCGATGAGCACCGCATGCTCGATTAAATATTAATCATCAGTCAATGACATATTATGATCATGTGTGAAAGTGGCGTGTTCGCCGAGAAATATTGGAGCAAAAGCGATTTGCGAGAATGAGTCTGCATCGTTCCTTACTTACTTCGAGCAGCGATTACGGAGTCGCTCTTCGACGTGTATTAATTCGGGAGGTCCTGAGACTCGAAAGCAGCGTTAAATCCTCCCGAGCTAATCGATTGTGCTCTAACAACGAACTGTCGGAGGTGTGTAGCGCGAGGAGGATGAGTGCTCGAGATGGCACCATGGATGTTACGCGACTACCATATTCACTATCCGGGTCGTAAGTGTGTCTTAGATCCTACGAAAGGAGAGAATGGCGAATCCCTTCTCTCGAAGATGATTTTCCCTCTCGTTCGTCTTACGGCTCCGGGCTCTGTACTGCGGTATAGGTCATTGGCGGATGGGTTCATGGGAAATCGCGCATCTGATCCATCACGAATGAGGATCGAGGACTTCGAACAAACGGAGCGCAATACTTTTCATTCACGATTTAGAAGAAAATGATCGCTTTATTCTTGAAAGTACTCGCTGAAATGCTTGGCGTTTTCGAAAATTCTTGCTATCGGTTTGACTTTAACATTTTAGAAAAAATTACAAAGTGTTTTCAATGAGAAAAATACACAAAAGTGCTTCCTTTTTAACATGTTAATATTTTTGAAATTTTTAAACAAATATTAATTTTCTATACATTTATTATGCGATTATCTTTGATTATCTATTTTAAGATCTAGTTTGTGTTTATCTTTTTGCAATATCATTCTTTAGCATACAATTGTTCCATTTTAGTGTCATGTCATTGTCGCAAAAATATAAGATAAAGTTTCGACACTTCTAACATGTTAAAAAGATGAAAACTATCTTGATGATTGCGCGATTATTTTGTGTGGAAGGCGGTCTACTTTACGACGCCAGCAAGCATAATTGCGTTTTTACGAGGTGACACCCGGCGTTTCTTTTTTGTTACCATACCGAGTGAAACTCATTTGAATTTAATAGCGTTGTAACAACACCGATTCTACGTCGGTTCGCAATTCATAGATATTGCATGCATATTTGCACGAAATGCAACGCTGTATGATTTTAAGACTAGTTTCTGAATTTAATTATCTTGATGAAAATATTAATGAATTTTTACTTTATACTTTCGATTCTTGCCAATTTAGAACTATTTTTTGCTATAAAATGCTTATAAAGATAATTATATAAAAATACAATTTACGAAAATAATGAATTATTAATATTATTATAAGGGAAATGTATATAGCAAATGAATATTAATGAAATATTGAATCACGCTGCATAAATTTCGGACGTAATTATTAGTCTTGATTAGTTTATCTCTTGTTTTATTAATTTAAAATTAAGTATTAAATTATAAGCTAAACACATAGTTACTGTAACTTTTTACAGAAATAATTATAAATTGTATGATGACATTTGCGTAAACTTACAACCTTTGCGCGACAAATCATGCTGTTGAAATGTTCTGTACTCCCGGAAGTCACGATAATACTTCGAGATAGAATCATCCCTAGTATTGCTGAGAGTATAATCAGGGGAGGCATAGAAATAGCCACTGGGTTGGCTCGTTCTCCTCGGAAGCATCCACAGTCGTCGGAATGATAACTCTCCGGCTCTCTCCACATCGATGCTTCTCTTCTTTCTCGTCATGGCATTTTACTCTTTCTCGTCTACAAATAAGGCACAAGCATAATGCTATAAGCCGATTATGCGGAGATGATAATTAAGCTGTTAGGAAAGTCGCGATCGTTGATCTAACGGATCGGATAATCGTATTATAGTTATAGACGGATTATAAACGCTGTCTTCGGAACGTTACATAAATGCAGAAAAAGCGAACAATTAATATTGTTACGTCAACATCGATTAATCTTGCAATTAATTTAGAGATAGTTACGAATATACGGGAGATATGCATGTGATAAATGTCGAATAATTTATTATACGAACGACAATTATTTTTGGGTAATGAAAATTGTTTTTCGAAATTTTTATATAAATCACATATTAATTGAATAGAATTATATTTAATATAATCAATAATATAATATTGTTATTTACTAAAAAGTTTTTTTTTTAATATAGTAATAATACATATACATAAATGTGGCGCAAGTTATAATTTCTAGAACTCTAACACGACCAACCGTTGGCCTCTGTTTTTTCGTTCAGCAAAATATCGTGGTAATTGCGTCAATGTCTCAATAATTTCATGGCTACGCATGCGGAATGTTACTTGATACAAAAACACACTTTGTCGACAAAACCATAATTTGTTTTTATGTACAGCAGGGAAAATAGGGAAGGTAAATCTGTACGCAATTATAAAATACATTTGTTATAAGTTGCTTTAGTAATTGTGAAATTAAAAGAAAGCTTTAAAAATCTATAAAAATTATCAGGAAATTAATTTCTAAATGACGGTTTTTATTAGTGATTTTAGAAATAATATCAATCTATTAAATAAAACTTTCTATATACGTATAATTTTTTTCACAATATATGTATATTTATAATTATTACAAGATTAAAATTTTTTAAACATTTACTTGTACCAATTCCGACATAAAAAAAATTCCGTTTGTGCAATTCACCTAAATTACAATAAGAATTGAAATTTATAACAGTTGTAGCAAGCGCGTAAATGTGAGTTTAATGATGTCTGCGATACAATTATGATCATTAGTTCCATACGGCGTTTGCACATTTCTTCGATGACGCGACATTTCACGACTCAAGCTCACGGTCGTCGGTCGATACGCGCGCGTGTTCCTTCTCTCGCCGCTCACAACACGAGCGAATTCACGCTACCTGAAGTAGTATCGGCGCTTCGTTCCGATGACTCGTTCGGCAAGCGAAGCGAAACGCTCTTTTCGATTTTAGCATAAATGCCACTTTCCACCGGAGATTAGGAATACTTTCCGCTTTCGCACTTGCTTCCTCCAACGGCCGGCGCCGAGCATTTCATAAGCGACGGCAGCGTTAATACCTCGGATACCGAAACTGTAATTAACAGTTTGTTAGATTTACAAACGATATGCAAATTCACAGGAATTTACGCGTTAAAGCTTCGATCATCTTCGTAATTGTTTATTATTACTGTTATTATAAATTCACGATAAAAATTATCAATTTCGTTTAAGTAAACGTGTTATTAACGCATCACTCCTTTATATCGCACTGCGATATAATTATGCGCGAAATTAGTATAATTACTTAAAAACGCGATTACAGCAACCTGGTCAGAGCAACGCGCACTTGCTTCGGTACTCTTGCAACGCGCACTGTGTCTATTTACTAAAGTTTCACGATATTTGTGCCCTTTACCGCACACCATCTCCATTTAAGCCCCCTCTCCGCCGATTCATTATTTCCTTCCGATTTAATCTTCAGCCATTCACCAACGAGTTATTAAGTACTAAAGATAGATGACTTATATGATTACCTTCGTCATATTTTGAAGATGCTATCGCCGATTGCGATACATAATTTTGGAAAAAAGCTGATTTGCCAAGAATTTCTTTTATACGTACTTTATTAGATGTAACGTTATTTGCTGTATCTCTTGTTACATCTTGAACATCGCTCACTCGTAACGCTCGTTACGTGTGGACGCATGTTCTGCGAATAGTCTTATCGCCACATGCGAAAAGCATTGGAGAAACGTGTGTTTTTTTATGGTTTGAAGGCAAAGACCGCGAAGAAAACCAATTTATTTTATTCTAGATAATTATATGTGTGGGACCTATTTTTGAAAAATCCATTCTTTATATTATTAATTGTGCACATTATTCATATAATAGCTATAGTATTTAAATATTGCGATAAATTAGCGGATATTTCTACATATGTTTCAAACAAAATATATGTTTAACTGAACAGGATAATTACTAATCTAATCTGATCTTTAACTTATTATACATTCGTCACGTCATTTTTTAAGTTGTTTGCTATTATTTACAGATATATGCGTTTGAAACAGTTAGGCCGTAACGCAATTTCCGCATCGTGTTACTTTTTCTTGTGAGTAACTTTCTTTTGAAACGCATTTGTGCATTAAGCGCTATTACACAAATGATCGGAGTCTTGTAAGTTATCATATGTAAACATTGAGTGACGTTTTCATATTTTAATTTTAAATTATTATTCTTTTAATTCAAATATTTGAGAAAATATCTAACAAGAAGATAGCAAAAAATATAAAAAAACATTTTCAGCATATTAAACTATTGACACTTTGCATTTTTAAAACCAGAATTTTACTATTAATATAAAGCAACTTTAATAATGCATAACTTTTTTTTTAAGTTTTTATTATGTAGAATAATTAATATTTAATTACTAGAATTATTAAAATTTTTTCAAAGAGTGATCGTATGTTGCATTATATATTAATGTTTCCAGTATTAATTCACGATCTTTAGAAAATTAAATAAATCATATCAATCATCTAATCTCTCGTTTCGATTTTAATTAATAAATTTGATTTTTATCACTTTCTTAACTTACTGTGTGCAGCTCGCGCACAGTAACAGCTGTTAATTGAGCGATATTTGCTTTCATAATTCAGAAATTTACTTCTGTGAAATTTAAAGTACCGGTCATAACTTTTTACATATGATCGAATATCACTCAAAGTTCTTGCTTCTGCTAGTGATTTCCCTTGATATTATTTTGACGTCACTGGCAAATTGCAATCTTTTAGGATTGTAAACAATTCTTTGCAATCCAAAGTAAAACATTTTGATTTTCTTACATTAAATGTTTTTATTGACAATATTTAAGAGAAAGAATGCAATTGACAAAAATTTATTATATAGAAAACTTTAATTTAGAAAATTTTCTTAAATAATTAATATATAAAAACATTAGAGTTTAAGACAAAGAAAAATAATTTAATTACTTAATTTTTTTTTATAAAAGTAGTGTAAAATTTTAATAATCAGCTTATAATTTTAAATTAACTTACCGCGATTTTGTAAACGTGATATCATTGCAGTCATCTTTTTTGGTTCACTCCCAATTAGGATATGGTTGCAAAACAGAACCATCTGGACCAGTTTGTTTACTAACCACATTTAAATTTGATGGCATTCCGTCAGCTCTTATAATAGTCACAAATGTTCCCGTCTGACAACAATAAGTACATATATAGAATTATTGCATATTAATACAGATACAGATTAATACAAATACAGATGATTTTGATTTTTAACAAGTTATATAAAAATCTCCCTTTTCGCTTCAAGAGAAAAGTCTTTTAAGATTTGCAGCGCAAAAATCAAATAATGATAGCAACCGCGTATTTAAAATTTCAATTCTTGTTTAAGTCTCTTTTCGATATTCACTATCAAAAAATTATAAAATATATATTTTTTAAAGAGTTTTAACGTAATGATAAAATTACTCAAAGCTTGAACAATGATAGTGTTGATAACATATTCACTTCAGAGCTTGTCATTTGATAAATAAGTTTATTGCTTAGTGTTTATAGACAAGTGAATAAAACAAGTTTATAGGCAAATTGAGTATTAATGAAATAAAATTCATGTGTTTGCAATGAATTTATAATGGCGCGTTTCGTAAGAAAAATATACGCATTGAATTATTAGCATCTATATGAATATTTTTGCTCGTAAGAGCTGTAACAAAACTTCCTCGTAATAACTTAAACAGAGTCCAATAGGTAAAAATTGAACCCCTCCAAAAAACATGTATACATTATTTATATATACATATAACTCTTTATGTTAATGATCTAATATTTACAATAGTTTATACTGAAGTATATTTGAAGGATTACAAACAGTACTGAAGTGTCAAATATTTGATCTTGGCTATAATGTTATAGGCCATAGAGTTGCATTCTCTTTCGATCGTTAGTTTGTATTACGTCATCGTGACATATATAGATATTTAATTTTTTTTTACAATAGGAAGAAATATGCAATTTTTTCACATACCATTCCTTTGAGAAACTCTTCTCTTACTATTGAAATATTTGATTAGAAAGTGATTTTATTCTTTCTTTCTCATTCTACTCAGATTTATTCAGATGTCATCGTAACATTCGTTGAAGCTTTCACAACTGATTGACGCACAAACAATATTTTTTTAAGCAAATTATAATATTTGAGAAAAGAAATTTTACTCTGAAGTAATAGGCGAATTTTTACTAATGTAAGTTTTCTTTTTTTTTTTGTCTTTTTATATGATCTAAGAAGAAAAATGTCAGAAATACAATTAATAAGACTAAAAAAAAGATACGGTTTGTCTAATAACATTTATAAAAATGGATGGATGATAATTTAAAATAAATTTTTATTTATCACACACACAATAGTCAAATTTATTAAATATGAAATTACCGATTTCAGTATTTGCAATTGGTATTATTTTATATTATTTTTAAATCATAAATAATTCATCAATTATTTTTTATTAATAGCAACATTTATTATACAGAGATGTAGATACATGAAATGTATTATACAATAGTCGAGTCAAAAACGCATGCATACTGTGATACATATTGTTCATTATTTGCAACAACAATAAGAAAATATTTATTATGAACGGTAAATATTTTTGTCCCGTGGTAGTGGCTGTCTTCAGCCACATGTGCTAATTAATTATTCTTAATGTAATTAATAAATATTCTTATTTATATATACCACGGCACTAGGATGAATAATTGTAAATTAAAAAGCTTGCTGGCACCGCTGAGTAGTACGCTCGAACTGGTTTTTCGAGCTGATAAATTTTATTAAATTTTACGAACATTACGAGCGGGCTATTCGTTCTTTACACGTATCAGAGAATCAGAGTACACGTAGTCTCGCGCATTTCTTTAATCGCGATTGATAAAGATAATGTAATCGACCGGTCTGAAACTGTAAACAGACTTTACGATTGAAGGAAAAAAGGATGGCCTGCTGAAAAATCTTGGGAATGAATACGATGAATACGGTGAGAAATAATACTCTGCGAAGAAATTCGGATATTTGTACCACCAATCGGTAGACGTCGCTGTGCGGAAACGCGGAACGTCGAACTCCCCGCGGTGCCACGATCTTCATTTAGCGAACAGCGGCGGCCCGAAATTGCGATTGTGATCAAGATTGACCCCGCTGTTACCGTTACACTTGGTACCGCGAATCAACTCGTCCACGTAACCGGCTTGTATCCGGAAATTCGTTTCGTTCGCACTCATGGTGCCGGCCATGAGCTTTTGGAATGACGATGTGAGAACCCATAACTCTTGACGGCCATTCTTCGCGGTGATGATCTGCAATTTAGTTGATTGATGTGTTGATTACGCACTACCATTTAGAAATCTTAGTACCAAATGCGGAAATAGATGAAAAGAAAAGATTATTCTTCAATACTTAAATGAAAGGTCATGGCGCACCTTCATTCCAGACGGAAATTGCAGGGTGTCGGGATTGATGACAACAACTTCGGTATTGGTACCACCGTATTCAGGATGCGTGAGACTGTTCCAACATCCAATAGCTAGATCTGATAAAAGACCGAAGAAGAGAACCCCGTTTTGATCCATAGCTTGAGCGGCCGACTGCGATGACCTTTCCATAACGAATGGACGGAACGACCTTGGCACAGCATCGGAGTGCTCTCGAAAGAGGCTATAATTCCTATATATAACAAAGAGATGTCATTAAAATGATTTAAGAAACGCGACAAGAAAAGAATACGTTGCACAACGTTCAATTCATAGAAGTTTATTATTATTATACAATAAAAAGCGTTTATGCTTATTCAGAATCTATTAAAAAACATAAATCTATACTAATACAATTTAAAACAAAACATTTATAAATTCAAAGCACATAATCAGCATACATTACAATTTCTTTTCATTCTTTTGAATAAATACGTATTTAAAATGTCACGTATTTTCAGTAGAAACCACTCAGCACATATTCAGTTAACTTCAGTTTATCCTTAAATAAATATTTATTTTCTCACCTGATGATGGAAGTGGGTACCCAACTTTCAACTTTGCTAGCCAAAGAGTGGAAATATAAGATTTTGTCGCCGTCCTGTTTCAACGGACTCAAGGCGAGTCCCAGAATACCGTCCATTAGATCGAATGTGTCCCCCTTGATGTTGAACGTTCCATGGGGTGGATAAGGATGAAACAAATTGTTAGTGATCCTCCAAGAGCGGGAATTACGATGATCGTAGACAAGCAATCCATATCCGGTTACATCTGCGATGTAGACAAATGTATCGTGACATCGGTTGCCGGTATCGCGGTTATCAACTACGAGTGTAACGAATAGAGAATCGTCCTTGAACTGCTCCTTGGGAAACTTGTACTGACTCAAGACCTTATTTGTTCGCAGCGAGAATGACAGCAGTTGAGGCCGGCAGATCTGCCGATCCTCGACTTTGCCAGTGTCAAGAACCCATAATCTGTCGCATGAATCCACCTGCGATCATATATTTTTTCTGTATTTTAGTCTTTTTTTCTTTATTGAGTAGAAATCTTTGGTTTATAGGAAATCAACTTATCTCAAGTTTTACAACAAAAAATAATAATTGAAGTTCTACCTGATATTCAGAGACAATTAAATTTTTAATTTGACTGGAATTTTATAGTTTAATTAATTATATATTTTATATTAATATATTTATTAATATTGTAACGTAACATTAAATTTTTTAAAAATTTTTTACGACAAATTATTCACAGTATAAAGACGGTGTTACTTTCTTGAATTTCTTTATGTTTTTAAAATTTGTTGATTTAAACGATAATACTCTAATTTTGCATAAAATTAATATACAAATATTTTCAGATTTTATAGCTCACACATTTTTTGTAATAATCTACAAATTCTTTGTTAAATTTGAAGTTGGTTTTTATCTTTCAATCAACGATTTGCAATATGCAGTTTTTTATTTTTACTTCACTGGAGATAGAGAGTTAATTAATCTCTATCTTCTTATCTACATATTTTTCATGTTTATTCACATAGGAAGAATATCGTTGCAAATCAAGATCAATTATAGAACATGATACTAATGAATGGCTTTTGTATGCGCGTTGTTCGCGAAAAACTTTCTAAATACCGGATGTTTTGAAATACAATGTGCTCCGCTATGCATTACATATGTACTTTTGTGACTGACTTAATCCAATATTTCAACAAAAATAAATTTTTTTAAATGATAAAAATGATTTTTTACGAGAAATTAACATTTATTACGAATTTATATTTTTTAATGTGTAAAACTTTAGAAATTACGTTTTTCTATAAGCAATTAATTAAAAAAAATGATTTTGTTTTATTTTTTATGAGAAATTACTTTTTATCGTTACTTACATCACGTTGATCATTATCACATGTATGCTATAATGATCAACATACATAAATGCTATTATATATTTTGTGTTATAAATGTCGCGTAAATAAGAGAACTCTTGACAGTAAGTACGTGTCAAAACTAAATTTATATTTTTACTTAGTCTTTATCAGTACGGAATAGTGATAACTATTGTTTTAAGAGCATCGTAAATAATGATAAGTTGGATAGTTAAGTAAACACGTCATATTAAAAAATCTCAAAATACGCGTCTTTCGTAATGTTAACCTCTTGTAGTCAATGTTAACAATTATCGCAATTAATGTTGTATCACTTGCAAGAAATTCCTCGTATTTGTGTCTTTGGAATAATAATGACGTTATTTTCATTCTGTGTCATACTCTTACGCGGCGCGCATTTATCTTCGAATAAACATAGTGCGATTTTCGAGATAATAAAATAGTCAGGAAGACTTTTAGCTTTAAGATTTATAGATCCGGTTGTAACAATAATTGTAGATGTAGTGACGTCTTATGTAGGTGTGATTTTACATTTGTCAATTTTTTCATTGATTTATTTCCAAGTTTAAAACTTTTTATTACCTGCATTCTCCATACACTGGTGATTCCATCGCAGTGTCCGAATGTCCTCACTATGTTCCATTCCCAGTTTGGATAGGGTGCAATTATCGGATTTCCCTCGGCAGAAACGTTATCCGTGACATAACCGAGAGTCACTGGAACTCCGTTTTGAAATCTTGGTATCGAAACAAAGATCACAGATCCTTGTTTAGCTGCGTATTTATTAAATGGATTAAATATTAAAAGGTTGAAATTAATTTACTTACAAAGCTATTTAAAAACTTTAAATTAAAAAGCAGTTATTAGCTTTGCATATTTTTTATGATAAATTATAGTATTTTATTTTCTTTTATTTTCTCTGTTTTTAGATATTTTTTTCGAATAAAAAATATATTTACGTTTTTTAAAAAATATTATGGATGAAAACTAAATATAAAACCTACATTTGAATAAATTTTTATCTGAAAACAATTACATCAATCATTTATCAAGGCACACAAATTACATCAGTAATAAATCATAACATATAGTGTTAGAATTACTAGTCTTTTCGTATAATCATAGTTAATGCGTAGAAACTATGCAAACATGCATTATCACAAAGAATTTTTATTACTCAAGAGGTTTCGTTACTCTTAAATTGCATAAATAAGGAAGAGAATGACGTTCCGGCAATTGTTAAGGCCATAATCTGCCAATTATGTGATCTCGTATACTCTTCCATTGTAAGTTTTAATTATACGAATACATAAATTAATTAATTTTTTTCAGAAAATAAGCGAATAATTGATATTTTCAATTAAATTTATGCATATTTTATAATGTTAATACGAAATAACAAATCAATCAAATAATGAATTAGTAAAAATAAAAGAAATATCGAAACATTTTTATTAATGACGATAGCAATAGATTTGTTTAACGATGAAGAACGGTTTGTCACTTCAAACGCTTTTATAATTTAAGAATAAAAGATGTGTTTAAAACCTTTGTGATAAAAATCCACGTCGAGTGGTAGCGGTGCGCCCGGAATGAAACGGCCCTCTAGTATAGCAAGATCTCTCGCATGCTTATTCGGGAAGGCAAACTCCAGTGCCTTCCAGGAATGTATACCCTTTAATTTTTCAATGCTGGCGCATCCCCCAAGAAGCAGGAACGGTATAATAATACGTAACAACCGGGTTGGTTCAGACTTCATCGTAAATCTGTAACAAGACGCAACGTTTGCACTTTAAGATGCGCAGAAATTTTTGGGATATCTGCATTAAAGACACGCGAAAATTTTTGAGCTCTGCATTAAAAATACATGGACACGTTTTGGGAAAAATGGCTAACTTTAATAACTATTAATATATTATCATTATCAAAACATATTAAATGCAGCACTTTAAAATCATTATGACATGTGAAAACGATTATGATTGAAATTGATTAGAAATCTGTTTAACTTATGATTAATTACAATGTTTGGATTTTCAAAATATGGTGCAATCGAGAATTAAATGTTTATATCTTATATATGTTCTACGTATGAGCTCAATGTAGCAATCAAATTAGCTAAAGCATTGCACTTTCTAACACTTTTATAGACTTTCACAAGAGAAATTGCATAATAAAATTTGATGAAGATGAAATAAATAAGTGTCGCGTTAGTAAAAAAAAAAAAAAAACAAAGATCCGAAACTTTTATGGTTTGATTTATCTTTCGGTTCATCCACTTTTATATTTGACATCTTATCTTTTGTATAAACATTCACAAACAAAAGTGCAGATGTGACCTTCACTGCATATCTTTACATGATATCAAAAACATAAAAAAGTAATTTCTTATCAATAAGCGTTTTATTATCTTTGAAATTATGTAGCCTTATTTTCCGCGGCAAAATTATGTTTCTTCTACATTTTTTCGTAGGCACTAAACACTTAATAATAACACATTGTGATGCAACCTTACACGTGTCTACGTTTTCTCGTGAAAATCGACGAAAGAGTTCCGACTTTTGCAACGGCGTCCTTCTTACTCGTTCTTTCGTAAACACGTAGTATCGTTAAAGAGATAGCCAGTTTTATTTCTTCTTTCTTCCACACTTTCACTGTCACGGAAAGAAAAGTTCAGAACTGATTGTTATGCTCGCCAACGTTAACGATTACATACAAAGCTAGATTAGTTTTCCCGCGCGGCTTGTGTCTCCGCTTTTCCGAACGCCAAGCTTTCGATCTTGTAATAATCAGGCCAAAGTATCTTCTTTCGCGTTCACCCTCCGCTGATCATCCGTCACACGTCTGTTTTTCTAGCAGTTTTCTCCTTCCGAGACATTCTCCAATATTTTTTACACCTAACGACGATTAACGATGTGGTCTCGCTGATGTCACTGTCGATTCGTATGGTGATTCAAAATAAATGATAATTTGGAAAGGACAAGAAGGCCTTCTAGTCAAACGCTCCGGACTAGCAGGCGATCGAGAAACGACTGCGAGATTTCTCAAGCCGGCGCGTAACTTTTCAACGTGTTCGAACATCTCCGTTCCACCGGAGCATAAACTAAGAAGGGAGGTAGATACTTTGCTATCTATCTTAAGTTTTTAAGATAAGGTTATCGTTTCGGGTCATGGTACGCAAGTAAAGTGCGTACGCAAGTATATTTTTTGTGCATAAATTATGCATATGAATAGTAAAAATGGATAAATGACGAAAGTATCTAAACTACTATAGCTTTGGAGAAAAAAGTAAAACTTGTTGTACATACGATTATTTATCACTGCGTCACAATGATAAAAACTATCTATTTACGAGAGGAGGAATTGCATAAGGTTTCCATTTCCTGCGTCTTTCGACGCAGTCGATCAGCAAGCATCTTAATTCCAGTTTTAAATTTATTTAGCATTTCACAAAATTATCAGACGCATTCGCAAGATTTATATTTTAAATAAAACTTGGCAAGTTTATTCATTCTAAAACATAATGCGACATTTTATAAGACTAATCTTAATATCTTATTTTCATGACACAAACAGATAAACAAAAAATATTATTCCTAAATACAAGTTAAAATTTTTTATTTACATAATACATTTTTTGTTATAACATAAAGCCATTATTTTTTTTCATATTTTTTTATATCCAAAACTGATGATAAGTTTAATGACAAATTATCAAATTAATAATTTTTAGAAAAATTGTGTCTTAACAATTTTTTTTTATTGTTTCATTATTTCGCTTTATGTTTCTGCCGATATCTAACAGGTTTAAAACGGAAAAAACGATCAAGCAAACGATGATGTCATTCAAATAATGAATACTACTATTTTGCATGAATGTTTTTCCCAATGATATGACTTGTCAGTGTTTTTTGAAATCAATAGGAAAGTTTATAGGGGACATACGTACAATTATTGTATAATAAACTATATAACAATAACGTACATATGTTTTATGCGTCAGACGGTTTGCATCCCACTTATTCATTATTATAAAAGAATAATAGCCATTCTAATAGCAATTATCCCATTGCTCGATAAGATCGATATAAGAATGATTGTAACTCGGAATAACATGACGCAAGTGGAAATAATGTATGAGTATACGAATATAAATAATTTTAAATGTATAATGTATTAAAAAAATGAAAATTGATTTAACTATAGATGCAAGTTCTTTAGCTAGAAATATTAGCAAAAATTTGATCAATATTTAAATGTTAAAATTTTTTATATAAAATATCAATATAAAATCAATCATAAAATAATATTAAAGTTTGACGTTTAAGAATTAATTAGTAATCTATGTTAAAAAAATTATCGCGCGTTGGTGTGAAATGTTTTATTTATGCAACTAATTATATATTTTTTATTTTTTTTAAATATTTTATCTCATTGTTCCAATAAGATAAAAACGCCTCAAGCAATAATAAAATTAAACCAGACAGTTTTACGGACCATCTATCGTTACAACTTTACAAATCAAAGAATTTGATTTTACATGCGAAATATACTGTACATATAGATAACCTATTTAAGTTTCCAAAATCTAGGTCATCTGAACTTATAATCATATAATCACGCATAACTAAAAATAACTTATTTAAATGATAATAGGGTAAACTTGTTGTACGGTATTAAATATACGAGGTATTGTATACACGTAGATGTATATGAATTGATAAAACAAAATCGATGTTTGTTTATAGGAAAACAAAAAGAACGTAATGGGTGAATTAATAGATTAATTTTATTATTTTTTATATAAAGCCATTTATTTGTTATATTATCTTTAATTTCTCACACAATTTATATTTATTTATAAATGTTTACATAAATTATGTACATTAAATTAACTTTGATAAAAAATTTATAGGAAAACATATTTATATACTTTGGAAAAGTGTTCAAAATTAATATTAATAAGAATCACAAAAATATCTTTTACAAATGTAAATTATTCGATATTGCGCTGAATGAATTGCGAAAGAATACGAAATGTCGTTACGTACAAAAGAATTTGCAAACTCGGCAATATCGAGTTGAACCTAGTTTTTTAAAAAAACTTAAATAACTCTTGAAAAAATAGTATTTTGATTAACTGAAGCTAAAATAGCGAGAGATATATTGCTTTAAATATTTAATATTAAGATAATACTAAAAAAAATACTACGTATAGGTATATATACACTCTAAATCTATTGCAGATATTTTTAAAATAAAAAATGCTTTTTACATAGCATTTTTATATGTCGCAGATATTTTTTCCTTTATTGATAATTTCTTTCTAAGAACATCAATGTTGTCTGCTGGCACAATTTTTCTGATTTAATGCTTTTGCGTAAATATTTCCCTTTAGAATCCAAGAGTATTATTATAGAATTGCAATGGGAAGTACGGATCAATTTGTTGATTAAGAGATTGAGCCAGCACGCGATTGTTCGTTTGGATTCTCATAATGCGGATGTTAATCTGACGAGTATCAACTTGTCTCATGAAAAACTTGTGGAATCTCGACGACATCACCCACACATTATTGTTGTCGTATTGTGCCACTAAGATCTCGGCGATAAATTGTAAGTCCTCTGGACTATAAGCAAGAATGCTGAAAAAAGAATGAAAGAAAGAAAAGATAGCAATTGAAATCATATATAATTATAATTTAAACGTGAACAAACAATCATATCACAACCTAATAAACGTAAACTATCATTAAAACTAGAGAATGACATTGTTTATCTTTTATATGCGTTTGACATTAATAAAATTGGGATTTTTTAGAGATTTAATATGTATATTTTTCATAAATTAATATATTATTAAATCGCTAAACACGCGAGAAAATGAGAATATCTAAAATGTTTCGATTGATATTTAGGTTTTTGACATCCCGTTTTTTAACATACTTAGAATAACAGAAGAATGAATAAAAACTGTAAAGTAAAAGGAGCTGATTTCATAGCAGCATCACTTTTTTTATGGACATTCCTAACGACTTAACACTATTTTGCCCAGAATTTATTCGATACATTCCCTTATTTCTTGCAATCATTCGTTGAAAAAAAAAAACTGATTTGTATGACGCAAAATGCGATCACTTTATTATTTTTTTAAAGTATGACTTAGTGATTAAAATTTAAAAAAATGTTTTTTATAATTTATTTCTAAAATTGTTAATTATATTAAATGTTGATAATAATAATTTTTTAATTCTCACTAACTTTGAAGTCTATATGCATTAGACCAATTTTGATAAAAATTTATGATAAAAAATTTGAATCAAATTTTTTAGAGTTATTTATGCGTGTGATATTTCGGAAAAATATCTTATTCAAAATTTTATACCTTTGTCGATTCGTTCGTGGCTGCCACGATGCGACTGCGGTCTCGGTAAAAGGGGCGAATAAGATAGTGTCATCTCGAGGATCCACTGCCAGTGCCAGACCTTGACTCGACTTTCTACCGACCAAGGTCACAGGTAACTGTTCACCAAGCGGAAGTGGTCCGGCTTGTAACGCAGAAGTAGGCACGCTGAAGATACGATCGGTCGCTAAAGGTTGATAATAAACGGTCCTAAGCCTCGGTGAAAATGTTATGCCCACTATGCCGTCCAGAAACTCGAAAGTGTCTTTTCCGATCTAGAAAAATGTTTATTTAATTTTAAACGCGATATTTATAATTGATAAAACACATTTAGTTTTAAAAATGTATCATATGCAATGAAGAAAAGTATTTAGGAATTAATGATCCTTATTACGATTATTAGATACATTAAAAAGAAATTTTTTCCAACATAGCGGAAGAATGATAAAACGATAAACTCATTTGTAATTCTAGTCATTTCTCTTTGCTACCTTATAAGGCGGGAAATATCACATAGATAAAATCACACTGAATTGATGTAACAAGTTTTTTTACTAATTAGATTCCTAATTAGATAAAGCGTACGCTGCTTCTCTATTGCAGCGTATATAAGCTTACACGTTAGAATGTACGATTACTGTTAATTTTCGTAAAGTTTGTGACTGTGCTTGCCTTTCTCATATTTTTGTTTTTATTATAATTACGTGGAATACTAAACTCACTCTGTATGTTGCTTGATCTGGGTGGGGAAACATGGATGCGTGAAGCAATCTCCAACTTCTATCATTAGTACCATCGAAAACAAGAAGTCCTAAAAAAATATTACAATTATTTTAAAATCTACTTGAAGAAATTCCTCTTTGGAAATTTTTAAAGAAAATTATTTTTATTTGAGATTTTTAAAAAGAAATATTAACGATTTTAAATCTTCGAAAAAGAATTATTTTAAAAAGATTATATTCGTTCTTCGGATTCTAAATCGTGTTACACACATTTTTATATTCAAAATAAATATTCCAGTTTCTTAATGATTTTTCTCATATACAATCATATGTTAGTAACGCCAAGACAAAACATAAAAAATGTACTTAGTCATTTGTTATTTTTCAAAGAAAATCAACAAAAAATAATTATATTAAAAATATGATATTTTTTCACAATATTTATTGAGTTTAATTAAAAAGTGTATAACCTGGTCCAAGAGTATCGGTTATGTAGAGATATACATCATCGCACGTTCTCGCCGAGGTGTCGTCGATGACAAGGTTGGTTAGCAAAGTATTCGGTCTCAACACCTAAAAAAATCCACACAATAATAATTGCTCAAAAATTATTTTTACATAATTCAATGCGAAAGTATCTTAAACGTAAGATTGTTTTGCAGATTGTAACAGGTACATAGTAAATAATCACTGATTCTATGTTTATTTTTATAATTAAAGTAACAAAACCGGTTTTAATTATTCTACACTTGTAAAATAAAGTGATTATATTGATTGTTCACAAACAATTTCGCTACTTCTCCTTTCAATAATGATTTTTTACTCTCTCTAATATCTTTTTATATAAAATAAACAGCACATTGGAAAATTTAAATATCATAATTGATACACATAAAATGTAAGCATCTAGTAATATTTTTACTCAATTAAAAATTTTTTTTTCTAGAAATTATATAAATTATTTTCTTTCTGACTATCTAACTTTATTCACGATTATCTTTTTTTTTAATTTACTATTTATTTTATATTTTTATATTTTAATTTTTTATATATTTACATTATTCTCTGCTTGCATTTACGAATTAATCGTTCGTGATACACGAACAGTCATACAACGCGTGCAGTCATACACACATTTTAATCTTTATCACAACACAACACAACACAACAGCGCAACACTGCTCACCTGACGTGGAAAAATGACGTGACGAACTACTTGGTCGGTTTTCAAATCAAAGACTATAACTTTCGGTGGGCAAACGGCCATAAAATCGTCGATCGATGTCATGACACCGGAATCTACAACCCATAATCTGTTGCACTTATCCAATCTGGTACGATACACTGAGATTAGCTTGGTACAGTTGATTTCTCCTTTTCCGGCATTATGCCAATCCCACGAAGGATACGCCTGAAGTTGCGGGCTGCTTCCGAAGGGTATCTTTCTGGGGAAGAAACTCAAAGTGGCCGGTACACCTGCGCGTAACCTGGGTGTGCCGACAAAGATTCGGTCCCAAGTTATCGTGACACCAGTCAGCACTATATTTTCCGGTTGATATTGATTGAGAAAACCACGGTCATATGGTAGCGCGAAATCAAGCAGTGACCATTGCGCGACGGTTTCTAGCCTTTGCGCCTCCGTCCTGATGCACAGTATCGTTACGAAAAATACGACGTATCTAAAGAAAATCAAAGAATTAATTTTTGCGTATAAGAAAATCATTTAAATTACGTATCAAATATTTACTTCTTGGAGCTTTTTGCAAAAAGCAGAGAAATTATTAAATTTCTATTTTTTTTAAATATGAAAGGAATAAAATTATAACGAGCCAAGTTTATTTGTAAGCAAATGTGGATATTAGTTTGTTTAATTATTGATCAAATATTGAACTATTTTATTTTGTAACAAAAATACATTACCGTAGCGTTAGGATACTTAAATAAATATTTGAAAAATAAGTAAAAAAATTGTTATTTAAAAAATCACACTTATGCTAACTCTAAATTGTATACATTATAATTTTTTATATTTATTACCTCATATTTTAAAAGTTCAAATCTACAATTCGGCAAATTCAAGCTTCACCACTGTTTCAACAATACTCTCATGAAATGAATGGGGTAACGATAGATATTGAACTGAATAAAGTCGTGCTAATAGTGTTAACTATCACAAAGAGAAGTACATCGGGCGTGTACCGCAAGTCCTACCGTCTGAGCACCGACTGATCCAATTTTCTAGCATCGACTTGTTAGAACTTGGCTCCTTAAGAGACAGGACACCACAAGTTGAATGCATTGTGTAACGAGAGGTGTATGTACTTTTACTCGTACGCACGATCACTTTATCCAGCAACACACCTACACCATTCGTCCAATGAACTATTCGAATTTTAGAGTTTAAACAACAGCCAGTTTCGTGCTAATCTGTTCTTGCAAGACGAGAAAGTGGCTCGTGATATGGCTATACGATATCCACGCCCTCGCATTTTTCTAACTTCTGTAACTGAATATTCTTATCGCAATTATCTATGAAAAGCAATAAAAATTCTTTTAATTCCTTGTTATGAGGAATTTTTTATAGCAATTTTTAATATTACAATATTAACTAGCTTCTAAATACTGCCAAAAGAGAATCTATTTTCTCGAATAAAAAGTAAATAATAAGAGCAACGTTTTGCCATATTATATTTTTTTCTGTCATACAGATTATATTGATTGAAATATGCATAATTAATATTTAAATAAATAATAAATATAATATACGAAAATTTCAAAGCGCTTGAAAAAAAACATTCAAAGGGTGAATGCTTTTACTACTGACATAAATTACTATGGTTATGAAATATCATAAAAAATAGCATTAAATGGCACTTGTACTCGTACTATACAATTATAACCATTACACGTATACGTCCTTGACTGATCTGGATTGAAAGTCCCCCGGAACTAAAGACCGCACCCATTATTATATATATAATTTGATTTGGATGCATATGTGCGACCAGAGAACATAATGAACTTTCTTGATATTGAACTTATGATTATTGTTTCGCAATTTTTCTTTTTGACACATTTATTTCACCCCATTTTGATGGATATTTTGACTACAAAAGTAAACACATGTGAAGAATTAAACTTATCTTACTTTACGAGATCTTTTCATTAAAACATTTTATGAAATAAAATGTTCAAAAATGATGGGATTGTCGAATTCCATTCGAAATTCCATTTAAAATTCTTTATTTCTCCAATGGAAAATAATCTTTTCCTATTTTTCAGAAATATTAAGATATGCAAAATTTTCTTACAAATCACAAGAAAGTTACGATAATATTTTTATTTAAATTTTTCTCGCAAATTACATGTATCTCTCGCATTGTATGCTTTGCATTTGAATTCTGACTATCAATTTCTGGCCAATAAATCACTTTCTCTCCGCGACATAGAACTCTTGTGTGTATACCATTTATTCTTTGTACTCTAACGACTTTCGTATTCCGCTGAGTCCGTGATTAAATCATGATATTGTATACTGTATATTTTGCGGCAATAGATTTATATGATTCTTTGAAAATTAGTATAATTGTAATACAAATTCTTCTATAATGTCAGAGAGGTTTTTTGAATTATCGCAAAATGATGATATCTATTCGTGTTGAATATAATTTTTAATTTAAAATGTTTTAAAATGTCATTTTATAATGTTTTTAATTCCTTTTTTAATTTTTTATTTTTGGTAAGCTAAACTCTATTCAAATAAAAATTGTTTTGAAAATACGCATTGAGAGGTTCAAACTTCCTATAGTATTATAATACAACTGTTGATCAAAGAGCTGGCTAATATGATCTTTAAATGCATAATTCTTAACTTGCGACTATATAATTTTTAGCGTGAAATTAGGAATGGTAAGGAAATAAGATAGGAAGATATGGAATTATTCCCGCGAGTCTATCCCAAGTGTATCCGAGTGTGCAACGATAGTTCGCTGTTGCTCAATATCGCACGTGAAATACTACGGGAAATACCATGGAGCGATCACGATTGCCCTCCATTCCCACGACGAAACGGAAACGGTTCACTATCGACTTGCAACGACGACTTGCGGATCGACAATCTGTAAATTCTCCAACGCGTTCGCGTGGACAAGACCGAATAAATATTTATGAACAATATTTGCATAAAGATAATAATTTGACGTGATAATACCGCATTATGTGCTCTATAAAATGCTTAATGTAAAGTGGAAACGACACGCAGTAAAACTCATCCCGATATTTTTAACTTTTTTTTGTTACAATCCACAAATTTACTTAGCGGAATATATTTTGTTTTATATAAATTTTCTGCATAATTACTTTACATCGCTTATAGCTTTATAATTTTTGTTTTAATGTCATTATCTTTCGCATCTTATTAAATGATATTTCCTGTGGAATAATATTAGATTGGCAATATCCACTTTTAGACATGCGTTTTTCTTAATTGCTGAAGTGTAACCGAGTGTAACATGTAATTATAAGTATTAGTCCCAATTTAATTGCATGTATTATTAACCTGCAGATATATAATTACAATTTATAGATATGTGATTAACGAGTACATTTACAACGGAGACTTTATTTTTCACTAGTTTAACCAATCATAATAAAATTAATTGCAAGTACTTTGCTTGAGTTTACGAAATAGATCGGAAAATGACACAAGAAACAAGATTCGAATAGCTTTCCTTCTTTCATCGAATTGTATAATAGTGTCGACCTTTTTTTCGTTATCCTGAGGCGTTTTGCGCCATCGACTGGCCAATCGTAAGTCTAATTTCGACTATTTTAAGATCTAGCACACTTTTCGTGTAATACCAGAATAAAATGAGCTTATTAATGCTAACGGTTTATGTTCATTGAATTGTAAATGTTACGATTGATCACGCTGAGTGAATTCGTTGATTATAGTTTGATCAATTGTAATGAAAGTGATCTGTAATTTAAAGAACACTGTTATTAATGCGGAAATATCAATTCACATTAATTAATGAAATTTTTAAATTAGAGTTCAGATATGTGATTAAAAAATTAAAACATTACTCAATTTGTAATTAAATACATTTGAAGTTCCGGTTATTGCATAAAACCAGAAAAATAATTTGATCTTGAATATCAGCTTTCATCGAAAGTTCAACGTATCCAATTACCTCTGATCCAATTGCCTCCGATGAAGAATGTCCAAGTGTTAGAAGATATAAAAAGCAGAAAGTTTAAACGCTCATTAGATATTTATTGTAAAAAGTTGCTAGTGAATTGGATATAAGAATTTGAAAGGAAAATGCCGTAGTAAAACTCAAACTCTTTGTCCTCGGCAAGCTACGAGTATCAATTATGTCGAAAACGAGCATTCATTACAAGAAAAAAATAGAATTACATTGTTTGAAGAAATGGCGTTGGCGAATTGCATGTCGGCCTAGTTATAAAACACGCGAAACAATTTAATTTTTTTACGCATAATGCGCAGTTCGATTTTTTTTTGCTTTCAAACACGCAAATGCCATTTTTCTTTAGAGCAAAGTTCTTTATAATTTTGTGTAATTCCACAAAAATAAAACAATATTCAATTTATGAAAAAAAGTGCGTAAAATTCTGATATTTTCGATAAATTTAAAGAGGAATGGCATACGACATATAGACATCTAATTAAGTGTTAAATAGATGAATTATTTAATTAACTAGAAAAAATAAACTCCAAATAATTTTAGTTTTGATTTAGATTTATTTAAAGCGCATCAAGCGCAAATTAGGAATACATTTTGCATCCGCAAGGGAGAAGTCAAAAAACCGCTGAATTTTCATAGTATTTATTTCTCCATCCGTCGAATGTCAGCAATTGACATTTTGCTTACCGTTGGAGTTTTTGCGTTGTCGGTGCAAAGGCCGCTCATTGCAGCCGCTATAATTTGAAGCGAGCTCGGATTTCGACGCTACAGACGCGCAAGAAAAAAAAAATGATCCGTAAACTATAATCTTTATGGCAATGGAAATACGACGATTGACATAAGGTACATTAATTCCGCATGCATAGCGTGGAAAGGTAAACTCGTCGAGTTGCAATTGTACCGGTGTTCCCGACTATGAAGTAGCCGAAAGACCTGTCGCTGTTAACCCGCGCGCTCGTAACAGCACTCCTCCTTGACTGTTCGCGTTCGACGAAGCGAGAACGTCTCGCTCTACATAAGGTTTAACGCGTGATTGGCGCCGCAGCCGACGGTGCCCTGCATGTAATCCGGGAAGTTGCTCTCCAGCACGCGCATTCGTCCCCTCTTGTAATCGGGCACGATGTGAGTGGCCAGGGCGCACTCCTCGCTCTTGTAGACGGGCTGGAAGTTGGCCTCCACGAAAGGCGTCATGCTGTCCCACCTGTAGACCTCGGCGTCGCCCTCGTATCGGAAGAAGAGCGCGCTGCCGTTGTCCGTGCCCAGGATAACCAGTCGCCTGGGTTTCAACCCGAGATCGTGTATCTTGCCCTGAGCGTTGCCGCTCCGCAGGTGGTTCGTGTTGATGGAGAACACGCGGCTGCTGCCCAGATACGTGAAGATCAGGCAGGTGCTACCGTCCTGGCGGCGCATAAGTGCGAGGTAGAGCACGTCTCTGCGGTTGCTGTTTATGGTCACGGCCTGCGGAAGGACGACACGGTATCCGCGACCGGAGGTCACGTCGTAGACCAGAATCGCTCTCGCGGCTGCGTCCGACACGTAGATGAAGACGCGGCCGTCCGAATTGTAGTCCGCTACGACGTATTGCAATCGCGACGAAGAGCCTGCTAAGCCAGACAGATCAACGGTTTTCACCACCTAAAAGAGAAATATCCGTTGCATCACACTGATCTACATCATCTTTTACGTCGCACACTCAAGGGATTAATCGGAAAAAGAAAATTTATAAAGTATACCAATTATTGCGATTTTATTTCTTTCAAATTTATTCTTAGGTTTTTTCGGTTCTTTCTTTCTCTTCTTCTTAGGTTTCTTTTTAGGTTTTTTATATTCTATAATTTTCTTTTCAAAAATAACTTAATTTTTTTTTTCAAAATATTGATACAGAATTGATTGCAATTTTTTTGACGAATGTATACATATATTTGTATATGATGCAAGAATAAAAATAGCTTTTTAACTGAATATTTCGCGGTAATTTGTTACGGTAGAAAGACGCTTAACATTCTTGTTGTATAATGCTTACGAAAGAAAAAAGAAAAAGCGATACGGATGAGTAACATGCATGCGTGCACAAACGATGTGACTAACAAGGGATTATACATATCGAATAAATAGAGCAAGTTCTCTTTCTATTTTTTATCAAAGCTACAAAATATTTAAAAAAATTTCTAAAAACTGAAATTTTATGGAAACATATGAGTAACAAATAACAATCACGTTCTCAAAGCAATTGCTTTTCTGCGTTTCAATCTTTAATTAAAAGAACGCGCCTGGCACTTATTTTTCAAGCTTTATTCAAGCTGCGAGAAAGGAACCGATTTCTCATTTTACACATAGCGAGTAGAAACAGATTATCTCACCTTGCCGGTTTTCACGTTGAGAGCGACAACCTTTGGCGGGCATTTGCGTTCGGCTTGTTCGAGAGAGTTAACGACTCCCGTATCTAACAACCACAGGATGTCATCAGGGTCCAAATAAATGTCGACAACGTTTTGCAACGCAGAGCATGTTCCTTCCTCTTGAAGCGACCAGCAAGGGAAGGGCAAGAGACTAGCTTGACAGTTCTTATCTTTCAGGCTAACCTTAGCCAAAGTCACTGGCACACCAGACTTCAATCTAAATAAATTTTTCAAAGAAATTGATATTATTTCTGTAGACATTAGTTGTTTTTATCGATTTCTCATACTTTAATCAGAAAATATTGCGTATAAAATAAGATAATAGTAATTTCAATTATTCATATATATCTCATTAACTTTTTCTTATTTTACAATTAATATAAAAAAACGCGTGCATATTCTACATGCCATAGGCATGTACAATATTCAATAAATTAAAGAAAAGATTTTATTCAATATGCTTTATGAATAATTCAGGTTACATCTTATTTTACATGCAACAATTAATCAGCTTTAATCATTATGTAAATAATGGAGGCGCGATTTGTTGATATTTAGCTCACTGATATTAATCCAGTAATATCGCACGTTAACTCTATAAGATCGTCGACGGTTAAGATTAATGATTTACGCCTAGTAGATGCACGGTGAAAGGAAGTATGATGAAGATATCGCTATTTAATGCTTTTATCGCCGAGTGAAACACGCATCAGCTATTCATTACACATTACTTATGGATGCAAATTCCGTGCGTCCTTCACGATTCGAGGCAGATACGGTCACCCCATGTAATGTCGTAACATTATACGCGCACGAATGTGAGCATTCAGAGACCTTTGACAAGGCCTACAATTGTGCATACCTCAATTGCCGTGTTCAAAGCGAGAACCGTTAGCTTCTTAAAATGATCGACCGCTGCGCTTCGTCTTTCCGCATTGGAAACCGCGCGTAACGATCGACTTACATACAAGTATCTCGTTAACGATTTCTGAGACCGACCGATGCGTGTATCGACTGCTACTGACGTAACATGATTTGCAACAAGCGCACTTTTCTCTTGCGAAGTCTAAATCAGCAAACCGGTCGAAGAACGCGACTGCCCTTTTATCCCGGATTCGGGTGCAATTAGAGCAAAATCTCTTGCGTTAAAACTACAGATATAGTCGGGTCTGTCTCTTTACATGTATAATTACTTGGCACAGAAATTCTTAACATTGACGTTACTTAAGCTTGGTTGACATTGCCTTATACGCTTTGTCTTCGGTAATTTTATTACATTGAAAGATCAACAAGAGATCACGCGCCAATATATTTATATTGGAAATAATTCTAGCAATTATGTATTATAAATTTACATATTATGTATTTCGTACCTGGGTAAAGCAAGGATAGCGTCGTCCTTGTAGATCGCAGCCCTGGTCGCGAGGACATTCTTCGAGATGTAACGACCGCTGTTCTTGAACATGCTCTTCGTGGTCGGGCAAGGCCATTCGAAGGCCCCTCCGGTCCACAGAATGTTCCTCTCTTCCTTTAGTTGTACGTCATTAGCACCGACGAAAACGACGGCGACGATGAACGTACACCGCCCGTACAAAAAGCATTCTTATTATTCTTTTCGCAAGTTTCGAATATGCACCTCAATCGCGTCTCTTTGACGATCGAATTCAACCGCAAACTGTAAGATTCTCCTTATTGCGCCAGTTTTATAATACTGTTATGTCGGAGACTCATTGCGAAATGTCTTGGTTTGAAAAATATTTAATTACGATGTGCAAACGGTTTTTGATATGAATACGTTTATTCAAAGAGTTCCGTATAGAGTTGATTGCGATCGGTGTTAAATGTGAACCGGAAGTGCCATACAATGCGCAGTTAATTTGTAAATATTTACGAAGAATTATAAAAAATTATTAATAAAAAGCGGTTTATATGATTTGATATAAAATCACATGATGAATTAATTAATGTTTTACAACGATATGTTTTTTTAATCTGAATATGAAGTATATATATCATAAATTTATAATAACAAATTTATAATAATTGATTATTTTGGTAATTAAATAATTTAATATTACTAAATTATTTTTTAGATAATACACGCCATTTAATTTTACTTTGATGCAAGAAAATTACAATATATTTATTATAAATATAACAATAACAGTAAAAACAAAATTAAAAATTTTTATTTTATTTATTATATTATTTTTTATTATGTAACAAAATCAAATATTTTCAGACAAAATTAAAAAGTAAACGTGGTATTAAAAAATTATGTGTGAAATAGAAATAGAAATCGCAAATACAATGAATTGATAATGTAAGAAAGATAATTTCCTGGTTGATTGTATTTCCTGTTTTATGAAATACTAAAAAATTTCACTTTTTATGTCTTCCTGAATTTATTATGATTTACAAACAGTATTTGAAAATACATGTCTTAAGTATTTCCTTTTCACGAACCTTGAGCGAAGAAAGTCGTCACAAAATATTGAGTAAGAGGCAGGAGTATATGATAAAAATGTAAGCAATCTTTGTCAGTTCATAACGCCAACGCGTATATATAAGTATAAAGCTGTATAAATAATTCGCACATTCAAAGATTTTCGTCCAACTGATATTACACGGGAAAACCTGTAAGTTTTTCATATCTCTTTGCCGCGCATTCAGCATTTCAGTTACTTTTACTTATGCAATTATTTGCAGTAATTTAATTTTTACCAACTTCCAGAAACTATCTTTCTGTTAAAAAAATTTCAAAAATTTACGTAAAGGAGAACGTTTCTTTCAGAGTAATCTAATAGTAATCAAATTTCTATTTTATGAATTTGGACATCAGAACACCGGAACATATTACTGCACCGTGTTAAAAGAGCGCAGGATGAGAATCCCGACGAGCGCTCTGTGCCTGGCGATCCTGGCGAACGGCCTGTCGCTGGTGTTGTGCGACAAGCAGTTGCTGCCAGAACTGTCTTTCACCTTGTCGGGCTACAGCCTGGACTGGCCGTGTCAAAGCACAAGGAACATCTATCAGACGAGCGGACGTTACATCGCCAGAAATGTCATTGGCACGAGGATGCAGGTCTACAAGGACGATGCCATAATAGCGATGCCGCGGTACAGACCGGGCGTGCCGTTCACCCTCGGTGTCATGTCACTGAAGACAAAGGACTGTACACCGAAGGTGACACCGTTCCCTTGCTGGGCGATCCAAGAGGAGGGCAACTGCCAGGCCCTGCAGAGCGCGGTGGACATAGTTCTGGACTATCAGGACATCCTGTGGGTATTGGACGTTGGTATCGTAAATACTTTGGAGCAACCAGTGCGCAGATGTCCTCCAAAAGTCGTTGGAATTGACGTGAAGAGCGGAAAGGTATGAGTAATTGATAGTTATAGACGTTAAAAAGATAATTCGAATCGCATACGAAGGACTCGCGCTAAGAAAAGGTTAACTGCGATCTTGCAGGTCGTCAAGGTGATCGACTTGAGCCCTCTGGTGGACCCGACGTCCCGTCTGCAATACCTGGCGGTCGATTACGCGGAAGACGGTCAAGTGTATATATACGTAACCGACGCCTCTTCCAAGGTTATTATCGTTTACAACGCCGTCGCGGATAAAGGATACCGAGTGGTCCTTCCAAATGCCGTTGCCGCCGGCAGCGAGCAAAAAGACGTTTTATACACCGCGCTGGTGAAGAAGAGCTGCGGCACGTCGGTGCTGTACTTCACTTACTTGGGCAGTAACAAGATCTACGCGATCAAGGCGGAGAATCTGAGGAAAGGTCACACCCAGGGGTCAGTCGTAGATATCGGATTGAAGCATGAAAAGAGTGTTCTCCTCGGAACTGATAACGGCTCCGCTATCTTCTTCAGGAAGAAGGGTAAGTTTGTCTTTTTCAATCTAACGTAATATAATCAGTTAATGTAGACGGAATAATGATATTAATTACTAAAACAATTGAGATTATATATAATATATTTTATATATTTCACGCATAATATTCTTCTTTTTATAGAATTATAAAAATAAATTTACGATAAAATGTTTGAGATTTACATTAGGTTTTGTAATTTTTTTAATATTTTGTAAGTTAATCTTGTGTTTCTCAAAATGAAGGAAATAATCTAATCTTTTGCACAACTTTTAGAATTCTCTTTTAAGCTCACAACGTATAACGAAATCATGGCTTGCTTTTTTTTTAGGTGATTCCGATGTCTACATGTGGAACACCGAGACGTCCTTCAGACCGGAGAACTTCCTTTTAGTGCAACACGGCAACGATTGCCGACTGCCAACTCAAGTGGTTCCTGGTTACAAGAGACTCATGTGGGTAATCGAGAGCAACTTCCAAGATTATATACAGAACACACAAAGTTGTTCGGGTGCTTCCGTGTCTGTTCATCCTTTGGTCAATTCTTGCGATGACTAAAAACTACTTGACGGGCCAGGCTTCTTCAGACTTACGACTGCCATTACGCGGTTGTATCCATTATACAATTCAGTCTTGTAAGCAAAATTTTAATTAATAGATTTAGAGTTTAGATTTTGATGCGCGCGCGTTAAACGCATGAAAACAATCGTCTATATTTATTTATGGCAATGGAGATACGACAGCTAACGTAAGGTACATTTTTCCATATTTGCTACATCGCGAAACGAATTCAGCAAAATTATATTGGTTTAAGTTCCTACATATATAAATAAAATAAGCAATCTTATTATGTTTCTTTTTCGCGATGAAAGGATAATTATTCTTTGACGTTTTAATAACATTAGTTGTTTCAAGAATTAAAATGTTTAATTAAGTTTAGAAAAATAGAAAATCAAGTTCTATTTTGTCGCTGATCTAGTCATGTAATCGGCAGCATTCTGCGCCTTGATTCTCGTACATATCAGGTAAATATTATTTCAATTGATATAAATGTTGTTTTTTTTTTGTTCGTAATTAGTATAACCATGTTGATTAGTAGAGAACTCTCTCGAAATACATATTACTGCGCCACGATTGCGTACCAGACGAATTTACCAGTGTAAAAATTACTTGTATCGTCGATACCCTAAGTCGACGTCGGCAAATAGCCGCCAGTTTTCAATCATAAATCTTAAGAATCCAATTTCCGACTACTTACCTACCGTATGATATCTCATCGAAGAAAGTGATTTACAATTTGTATTAGCATGGTTGACTGTAACACCGTGTAATTGTTGTTATGTAACACGATGCAAACGGCAAATAAACGTCAGCTTATGTAAACGCATATACATGGAGGTACATTGGGGTGCCACTTTACGCAACCTATATACAAAAATACGTAAACTCGTATTGCTTTTGATGATATTTGTATAGAAGGTGTCCGAAACCGTTGAATATTTTATTTATCGAGGATTCTCTTTAACCGATTTGTAATTAGGCTATCTTGAATTAGAATGTGGAGGCATCTATTTTTGTCCATTGATTAACGATTAAAAATATAGCAAGAAACTAATCTTTTAAGACAGAAAATCAATAATGCAATACTATTACATTCTCTCTCAAAATTTGTTTAGTAAAATTTTAATATAAAATTTAAAAAGGTAAAGGAATAATAACGTTTTTACTTTAAAAAATTGTCTTTTTATATATATATTGATATAAAAATTGTAGTTTAAAGAGTATTTTGAACGTAAACAAATGGAAAAATACTGCAAAACGTAAAAGATCGTAAGCAAAAAAGAATAATTGAGTAACAATGAATTCCAATTAATGACAGATACTTCAAGCTGTGAATTGTGAAACCAAGATTCTGCAGAAGTGAATTACGGATGAAAGAAAATCAAAGGTTGAAAATTACATAATTGTCGACGATGAATATTACTTTTAAACTAATTTTTACGATTTCTTGGTTTAACACTAAAAAATGCTTGAAATAAAATAAAGAATTCTTAGATTTAACTTTATTTATTGTAAAATTATAAATTTGAAATATTAATTCAAACGAGAAATTATATAATGCCTTAGGACAAACATAATTCTTCAAAAAATTTCTAGTCAGATGTTATGCAAAAATTGGAAATACAGTTACTGCACTTATCATATGAATGAGTACTTTACAATGTTTACTGTTCTAAATTTAAGTATTGATTTGTTCGCAATGTTTTTCTTCATTATATCAGAGCATTCTGAATTCACTAAACCCCATACATTTCTCCGTGCATCCATTTTGTAATCTGTTATACATGGAACATTATCGTTTTGCATCAGGACCGAATGACTCTCCGCCTGGAAGAGAAATCAAGTTATTATTTCATATCGCAATTATTTGACTTCTAAATAATTAAGTTGAATAATGTACATCTAAAGGAAATTTCGTATCCCATCGCACGCTGGCTTTCTCTGACGTCATAAAATAGTGCAGTCCGTCTTTTAAGTCGCAGAACAGGCCCGTGGATAAACCCAATTTTTTTCCAAGCCAAGTCACTGTTATATTCTGTATTCCCTGAAACAATATTATGTGAGACGATTACAAAAAAATTATTTTACAGATTATATTTAAAAGTACAGATGATATAATTTTTCCGTTGTTTGTACTTTAGTTTTCTTAAAATTTCTGTAAAGAAATTGCAAATGCAATTTGACTCAACGCACAGAAGATTCTTTCCACGGTATTTCATCCGTTCTGACTTTCTCCAAGTTTATACTAAATAGATTATGCGTATTTTGCCCTGTCATGTATAAAATTGAATTTTTCCGAGAAATAGCGAGGTCGGTGGCTTGCACGCGAGGAATTTCGGGTCCGTGTAACATTCTCAGTTTCCACCATTTGTCTTGTCCTGGAATTCGTACGTAATTAATGTGTAAAAAGATAATGGCGTTCCCTATTTCCATGTAACTCTTGTCTGTAGAAACACGTAGATTACCCAGGCTATAAATAATGATTGTCTCGTCACCGGCATCCGCAATGTATGCACGAAATCCCCATTGATCTTCAAACGGATCAATCACGAGAGATTTTAAACGTTTTGCAGATACATTAATCAGTTCGGTGGACGATACCTTCGAACGTTTAAAAAAATAAGATTATTATCATCAGAATTAACGACAACTAATGTAATTTACGTAAGATATTGTTATAAAATTAAAAACATGCTTAGACAATACATAGTTTAATAGATACCAATCGATCGTTCCGTTTTAAATCATAAATGACGATCCGAGGCCAGCGATTGTATTCTTCGGGTGCGTCCAGAACCCATAATCGCCCACGAGCATCCGTGTCTAATCCAGTTACAGATACAAGAGCTTCATAATTGCGCTTTGATGGTCCACTCTTAGAGAAAGGCACAATTGCTGCATTTGCAACGCTAATTGGCAAATTAGAATTAAGTTCAGGCCAAGGAACTTCCACTAAGGTTGGCCTGTACGCCTTTTTCTCTTCATCTGTCGACCTAAGAAATATTTAAAAAATGTTTTTAATTTTAAATTGTATTTATTTTAATTTTATAATAATTTTAATTTACTCAGTAAAACACTTTAAAGGATATCTTATATTGATTGTTTTCTTTTTTCTGTTTGCAGATTGTTCTTTGGAATTCATTGACCTACCTGGGAATTGCCAGAAAAGCGCGATTTTTCCACACAGCAAATCTCCAAATTAGAACATCATCCCATATGTTTAGTGATGTTAAATTCCAGGAGCACGAAACATCAGGTAAGAGAAAGTAAAAGACACTAATTCCTAGAACAAAGCGAATCTTTCCTGAGGTGATCATAACGAAAACGAACAGTAGAAACGGACACAAATGTGACTCCGATTGATTTAACGATATTAAGTTTTACTGGAACGCATCATCAGCAAAGGAAATACATTGCTGACAATGACTTTCTGATCAAGCATAATTAAAAGTGATTTATTCGCAAGTATTTATCAGCTTGCTATATGATTATTTTATCTTGCAGCTATAATAACTAGAACATATTTAATTGTGCATAAAAACATTTAATGAAATATATCATGAATAATATTTATTAAATGTTAACGTTTATTATTAATAGTTATCTGTGCGATAACCGCTTTCGTGATTTTTAAATAAGTACAATAACAATTAATTAATGCCATAAGAAAAGTTTATTCAATTTGTCACATACAGTAATTATTATACAATAATTATTAATATTATGTGATTATTAGTTATATGTATAATGTTGAACATATTTTTTAACAATTCTTTAATTAATTTTTTTCCAGAAAAAATATCAAAGCAACAATAATATTGTTTAAACATAGAAATCTATGTTTCCGACGTTAGGTATGTTGAACTTTGGCGCCGTGAGTAATGTTGCGTCTTGTCTCTTACGAGATGTCGCGACGATCAACTTGAGTGTTTGTAGTTTATGGCTGAGGAGTCGAGTGAAATCGTGGAAGTTCGTGATACGCGGCAAATGGCTGCCGATGGCTGCCGTGGTGCAGTTTCCATGCGAAGTGTTGCGCGTACGACGTTTGACTGCGGGTCCGCGTAGGCGCATACGAGACGTACAGGTGCCGTGTGTACGTCGGTGCCGATTAGCATCGTCGTCGCGCGGCAATCACCACGTCGTCGTCGTCGTCGCCGTCGTTCCTGTCGCGGTTAAGGTAACGATACGTGATGTGAGCGTTGGCGGGCGGCGAACCGCGACCGCCTATTCGCCGAGGAGAATCGCGCCCGCGGCAGCCAGCAGGGGCTGGCGATGAACGCCGCGAGAACGGAACGCAGCACGTCGGTGATGAAATCGGTGTCCGAGGGTGAGCTGGGTGTGGAGGAAGAGATTAAACTTGCGGAGCCGCGCGGCGCCACGCGGCTCAAGCGTACCTTTACACTGCCGAGAAACCCGTTTCAAAGTGCCAGCAGCAGGATGTCGCGGCGACGTCCGAAGCAGCAACAGCAACAGCAGACCCACGGCGACTCGAGGGACGCCAATAACAGCGCGCCGTGCGCCAAGGAGAACATGAGGAACGCGCGGCATGCGGAAGGTATGCAGCAACCGCCGCAGCGGCAGAATGTAACGGGTAGATTGCATGGCGGTCAGCAGACCGGCCAGATCCAAGAGTGTCAGGAGCGACCGTGCGGCAAGAAGGTGTTCCGCCGGCCCTCCTGGAGGAAGTTCATCAACAAGATGGTGCGACACATGTCGAACGTGGGCGCGCAGAGCCACAAGGCTGCCGCCGCCGCGGCTGCGGCGGTGTCGCACCATCAACGCGGGGACGATCTCGGGTCGAGCGCGGGCGACATCAGGGTCCCACCGCCGCCGCGACCGGCGCATATACCGCCCGATCGAGTGCCGGGTGTCATAGGCCTACGCAATCACGGCAACACGTGCTTCATGAACGCGGTGCTGCAATGCCTGTCGCACACCGACATCCTTGCCGAGTACTTCGTGCTTGATCAGTACAAGGTCGACCTGTCCCGCCGCAACAAGCTCAACTCGAAGAAGTACGGCACCAAGGGCGAGATCACCGAGCAACTCGCGCTGCTGCTCAAGGCCATCTGGAGCTGTCAGTACGATCCGGAAATGAGCACCGCATTCAAGAGCGTCGTCGACAAGTACGGTAGCCAGTATCGCGGTAATCTGCAGCACGATGCTCAGGAATTTCTGCTGTGGTTGCTCGATAAAGTGCACGAAGATCTCAATCAGGCGACCAAGAAAAAATACAAGATCATAAAGGTGAGTGACAAGGACACTCGAGTCGTGATCTGTCAGAGTGAATATACGGAATGCAAGTTATCGTCAAAATTAAACTATCGTAAAAGAGAAATACCTTCCTAAACGATCGTAAAAGAGAAATATCTTCCTAAACTATCGTAAAAGAGAAATATCTTCCTAAAAGTCGCAGAGAGAGATGGTTATCATTTTTTATTTGGTACTTGCTCTACATATTAAATTTATATCTATCTTAGAGATTAGCTATTTAAAATTATTATTTGCGATATATAATTCGTAATTCAATCTTTGTATTTAATATTAATTTAAACCAAAAAAATACAAATTTTAAATGTTAAATTTTTTATGTACAGAAACCTAATTCTTTGAGTTTTATCAAAAAATTGCAGTAGTTTCCATCTAATTCAGTGACTAGTTTTTATTTTAATACTATTTTTGACTCAGATTTATTTGTTGGTTACACATTTTTTTGGGGTACAGGAAGGTATTATTGCTCTTTTCTATTTTTAGGCGCCGCTAGTCGCGTCGTCGGATATATTTTTAGTAATGCCGAAGAGATCGTACGCGCGTGTAAACGAAAATGACGATGTATGTACCACGTGCGCAATGCGCTATTCAAAAATGCTCAACGCGTCTTGACCTCGGACAGAAACTGTGCCAATGGTGTTTCCATAAACGATAATATGACAAGAGGAGATTACATTTAAAAACAGAGTACCTATTTTTTATTCATTTAACGCAATATTTAAAAACATGACAAACACTATTTAAAAATGATTATGAAGTATTATTTAATAATTATTTAGTGAATTAGAAATATTATAACAAAAATTAATATAGAATTTTATTTTGAAACTATTTGTCACAACCAAAAATAACAAAGAAATAATTTCTTAATTATAAATAACGAAAAACTATTATAAATTAACAATAGAATTTATTTTTAACAAAGATTTTTGCAAGATTCAGAAGATAGAAAGAGAATTGCACTACAATATTAATACAATCATTTATCAATAATATTTAAATAATATATTTTTAATATTTATATATTTTAATATAAAAATATATTAAGTATAAGTAAGTATCGCTGATCAAATATTACAAGAAAAGAATCATATCGATACTCTCCGTTCCCAGCAGCTCTGAGGAGCTCGACAAAACGAATAATTAAAAAGAATATGCAGTAGCCATTTAAAAACATAGCAGGCAATTACACACATTCTTCAGTGGTCGTTTAATCGCCAAGCTTCTCGCGACGAACGAAACTTTCTCTTTGGATCGTCGTGACCAGCAGTGCGAGAGACGCTCGACGAAAGCTCGCAATCTCTATCTTTCTCCTCTCTCTTTCTCTCGGAACGTGTGTACAGAATCGGGCACGCATACGGTGCGTAGGCACGACTGCACACGAACATACCATATATTCTAGCGCGACAATCTCTCGCGTGCGTGACGACTGGCGGAAAGCCGTGAGCACGCGAGGCGTGCGCGGCGTTCTTTTTCGGTTCATCTCGTCTGACACATTCGCCGTGAATGGGTGAGCCGAGAATAACCGGCAGCCTATCTTAAGTTAAACACACGTGTCCGGAAACCGTGATAAACGAAACGAATGCCAAATTAATACAAATCCCTGTCGAAGTAGACTTGTCAATCTTATCTTAATTGAAAGGTGACTCCGGTGGCCGATGGCTTTTGTCCGGATGGCTTCTATCTGAGATTCTTTTCGGATTTTATCTAATCTTTGCCCGCACACATTTCAGCACGTTCCCTTTTGAAAATATACCACAAATTCACAAGTTTTTACAATAAGATTGTGCTACCCTTCTTTTTGGATTTACGATTGATAGAAAGTTGACAGTAGAATATTGAACGAGGGGAAAAGGAAGAAAGCGTGACATGTCCCAAAAGGGACGCAGGTGACCATAAAAAAGAAAAAAAGAAAGTATTGCGTATGGAAGACTTTTAATATATTAGTGGATTTAAAATATATTTAAAAAATAGTCTCTAAGAAGGAATGCAATCATATGTGATTTAAAAAATAAAGGTGTGAAGGTATGAAATTCTAACTTTACAGAAATGTAAATATTATGAAAACTAACCAGGCGTGAAAAACAAAGATAAAAGCTATCACCAGAAATATAAAAACTATTATCATCGGGAATGCAGGTTATCTTAGTTATCTCATCTAAAATATTAGTATAAAAGATTTGTTATTAGTTCGATACAATTCTTTTCGTGATTTTAGTACGTTCAAAAATAGTTCAGTAATTATAAGCGAATGGCGATAGGCTTTGTTTTCCATTTTTTTTATTTATTGCTTCGCGAAACGAGGCGGTCGACAAACGGCCAATACGTCGAGACCTTAACCCAAATTTGTTTCACGTTTGAAAATACGTGCTACGGTTTTCAACGTCGAGGTCCTCGGGTGACGGCGTGAAAATGAAATGTCGGATACAAAAAAAGAAATCAGAAGTAGCCCAAAAATATATATCACAGCAAAATTGATTTTCGTTCCAAATAATTAATTAGAATCGAGATAATTGGGATGCAGCGCTAAACGCAATACAGGAATAATGAATCTACATAACAATCCGTATGCAATTTTAAAATTGATAATTGCTTATTTAAAACGTGTTATGAAACCATTTAGATTAAACGTCACGATTATCGATATTTATCATTATTGATTTACTAAATGTGTTATGTAAATGTCATAATTATCAATCATGATTACTTGTATCATTGAAAAATATCAGCGCCACATCACGATGTCATTCTTTGCAATATTACGCTTAGCATAACTGTATAAAGTGACCGAAAGGCAAATAAAACGATTTAAAAAGAACTTGATTGAATAAGAGAAGAAGAATATTATAAATTTAATTTTCAAAGTTTCTCTGTTTATTAAAATAATATATCCGTGTAACTTTAAAAATACGTAGCTTTTTTAATAAATATTGCCGTATTTTATTGATACTCGATTCGAATTATCGGTATGTTCGACTGAGGAATGCTGGTCTTATCTCTCTCTTTCGTTAGCTTTCAGCGTACGATTTGAACGCAACCGAGAAACGAATGATAAGATAACAGTGAAGATGAATAATCGCGTCAAGATGAAACATGAGGATTGTAGAATGCACCGCGTTAAAAATATGCGTTTGTTCACACATATTTTACAGAATATATTTTTAGTTCTTTATAATTTGAAATAATTTTAATAAAATTTTACGAGGAAAAGATTCAA